CCTGGGGCGGGTGCCCAGGAAGCTCCGTGCCCCGGACTGAGGGGGTGGCTCCCCTGGTTCTCGCCGCGGACTAACCCGGTAACGGCTGTCCCCACCCAGGCGTACAGGTATCTGGAGGAGATGCGGAAGAAAGTGCCCTCCGCCAACATGTCCTACTACGTGAGCCAGCAGACCATGGACGCCGTGCACCGGGGCCTGGGCCTCCCTGTGATGCGTGCCATGTCCGGGCGGGCCCACCACAACAGCGTCGACGACCGCAGAGAGGCAGACGAGGAGGTGCAGGAGGAGGAAGAGGATAGCGAGCCCTGACAGCCGCTGCTGCTCCCCCAGAACCTGCCAGGGTTCATGGCAAGAGCCTGACTTTCTCGTTGAAATGACAGCTGTGTCGGACACCCCAGGGCACCGGCTGTCCTGCTCAGAAGGGGCCGTGAGGTCCCTTTCCTGCCCAGGGACTTGGTTCCTCTTTTCCAGGACCGTCTCCCAAGCATAGTCTGTAAAGCCTAAAAACCTTCTGGAACTCGATGGACTGTAGATATTAGCGTGTTCACTGCGCCTCGTCCCAACACCCAGGCGAGTTCCAAGGGAGCACATCTCACGGCTCCCGGCAGGACACGCCATCCCTGACCACGGGGCCCAGCGTCCGCTGGAACAGAGACATAGGGGTGGCCAGCACGTGTGTGCGGGGGGTGCGGTTCTCTGCACGAGGCAGCCTGGTGGCTCCGTCCACGTGGGCGTGTCCCATCACCTGCCCCCATCGTGAAGGGCTGGCCCCACGACATGTCCGTGCAGGGAGGGGGACCTTGGGGTCTCCCACCCCCAGCTCGTCACCAGCTGCCAGAACCGTGTCCCCCTTCAGAGGGACCTCGAGGCACCGCGGACCCTGCCCGAGCAGTCAGTGCCAAGAGGAATGGGTTTGAACACCTCTGGCTCCTTTTTATTCTTCCTCTTTGTTGCTTTTTAAAGTCTGCGTTCAGGTGAGGAACGGGCTTGGGGACAGGCTGAGAATCAGCCCATAGGGGCCCCAGCGGCTCCCTCCCTCCTCGGGACCCCCCCCCTCCTGCCATGTTCAGGTGGCCCTGTCTGTGGACGCAGGGCCAAGGGCCCTCCCGCGGGCTGCTGGCGGGGCGGGCCTCCCTCTCCAGCGACGACTAAGGAGAAGCGAGGGGGAGCAGTCGGTCTCTGAGCTTCTCCAGAAGCAGCAGGGCTTTCACAGCCAGCATCCTGCAGTCCTCGTCTGCGTCCCGGTCAGCCACATCTGCCAAAGACGAAAATAGAGCAGGACATCGGCGGCGCCCACAGCCGGGCGGGCCAGCCCTCATTTCCTCTTAGGGAGTCATCCCATACGAGCCCCCACAGGGCCTGGTGGGGCCTGGCCGTGTGCGGGGGCAGCACCCCACTCTCCCTGGGGCTGGGCGCCCAGCCAGCGGCCGGCGACAGGGAGGCAGCGGGATGGAGCGGACACCATCGTCTCCGCGGGGAGGCCACCGGTCCCGGGAAGCGGGACGCCACACGCCTGTGGCACGGGGCCCGAGGACCCGGAGCCGACCGGACACGCGTGATCCGACAAAGCCCGAGGGTGCTCTGCAAACTAACTGACGCGACGGGAGGGGCCCCGCCTGAATCCCGGGCCCCCGAGTGTGGCGCCACGTCAGAGTGTCTCCTCCCGGCCTGGAGCCCCGGGTGGACACCGGTGGGTGGGCAACACAGGTGCCTACGGGCAGGAGGTCACGTGTGCTCCAACAGACTTTTCAAAGAGAACACTGTGGCGAGGGGTGGGGGGGAGGGTGCAGGGAGGAAAGCTTATCCAAGTTAGTTGGCGAGTCTGGTGAGGTAACGTGCCTCCTGCGTGGCTCTTGCGACCTTACAGAAGATACAGAATTTTCCAGAACACACACACCGTCTCCCACATCTGGGCACCTTCTCTTGGGTCCTCCTGCAGGACCTCCCCAAAGTGACTCAAGAACAGCTGAGTCCCCACCCCCCCACCAGGGACCATTTCGTGCACAGACGGGGGGGATGTGACGGTCCTGGGGCCTCTGCACTGCCCCGTGCCCCGATGGCCACTGCACCAGCCTCCAACCACCCGCCTCGCCCATGCAGCTGGGGGCCTGGCACTCACCCGCCAGCCAGGATCGGGTTTCCAGCAGCTCGTCTGGCAGGTCTGCCAGGAGTCGCTCGGCGGGAACACTGAGGAGGACGGAGGAGACCGCGGACAGCAGGCCCCGGCGCACGTAGCTGCCAAGCCAGGCCGGGACGCTGAGCGCCGACGGAGCCCAGGCCAGGGAGACCCCGCTTCTCCGCGGTACAGCAGACCCACGGGCAAGCAACGCACGCTCCAGCCGCCCTGCCCCTTCGTGCTTGGGAAGCACCAGGCCGCCCTGCCTCTCGGCCACGCCCACGGGAGTCGCCCCCCCACCCTCCTGCTATCCTGGGAGCCCCGCCTCCACGTCCACGTGGGACCACTTTCCTCAGCCACACGGCCACTCACGCGTCACTGTGGAAGCGAAGGGTCCACACGAACTCCAGGAGGGCCTTGCCCATGGTCACAGCCACCTGAAACAGCAGAGGCCAGTGGGCAGGAGTCCTGGCACCCAAAGGTGGGTCCCAACAACCCAGCCCCAGGGCCAAGGGGAGGCCCACCGGGAGGACGGCCACCAGCTCCGCCTCCCACTCACCGTGGTGTTCACAGCCAGGTACATCAGGGCCCCCAAGGTGTGGGCCAATCTCCCGAGAACCAGCTGGTCTTCTCCCAAAAGGTCGAAGGTCACCAGCGGTCTACAAGAGCATCAGGTGTGTGTGTGCGGGACGCGTGGTCAGGGCTCATTCTCCAACCCCTGGGCCACCAAGGGACAGCCAGCGCCCTGGAGGCGCCCCCTCACCGCACGTCCCCGTGTGGCTCCCACAGCCATGAGGAGAAGGCGTCAGACAGACACAGAGCGCGTGGAGCATTGAGGCTCCACGGCGAGGCTCCGGCCCCGCCCACCGGGAACCCGCCAGCAACCCGCCATCCGTGACAGACACCGCAGATCCTGACGCCCTCGCTTTGCCATTTAAGCTACGAAGGACCGAAAGCCAGGTGGTGACCTTGCTGCTGCCCAAACCCCAGCACAGACTCCATCCTGGGAAGCCTCTGGTACTCGAGGGCGTCCAGGCCTCCCGCTCACCTGTCAAAGTGCTGAATGAGTGGGAAGAAGAAGTAGCCAGCCACCGAGCTGAACTGGTTGGCGCCAGCGTCCCGTCCCCGCCTGGCAGAGCCCTGCAAGCATGGTGCGCACAGGTGCCGCATCCCTTTGCTGTCCCATACGCACCCCCGTCACAGCCCCGGCCCACGCGGACACGGCACACACAGGCCGTTTCTTGCTGACGCAGAATTCCGGGGCTTTTTTCGCACCCGCATGTTAAAGCCATGAGGCTCTGATGCCCTAAGGCACGTGTCCCAACACGCAATTTGTACCCAACACCCTCCCTCCACACAACAGCAGTGTCGGTGCCGCCCCGTCCCCCACCAGGACCTGAGCCCGGGCTGGCTGACCTGCGAGAACCGCCGGGTCTTGTTTCTGATCCGCTCCTCCACGACCGCACGCCAGGCGGGAGCCACGGCGCTGCCGGGCGGGGGAGCGGGGCCCCGGGGGTCGCACTGGGGGGCCTTGGACGCGCGGCCAGGCCGAGACAGCTCCTGGGCGGCCAGAGTCAGGACCTAGAGGAGCGGGAGACCCAGGGCAGCGGTCCTTGTTCTAGGGAGGGGCGGCATCTTCTCAAACCCGAGGTAAACTGAGTGCCCGTCGGCGCCATCGGCCGTCACAGGCTGCGCCAGGGAACATTCTGGGGACCGCACGGGAAGTCAGTTCCGGCTACCCCAGGATTGCTTCACTTTGTGGGGGACAGAAGGGAAAGGTGGCCCCGCTCCTGCGCCCGGAGCTCCTACGGTTCCAGAGCCTCACCAACCTGCTGCCCAGCCGCCTGCACACAGATGGGCCCCGGAACAGGCCTGCGCCATCACATGCCTGGAGCCCTGGAACAGGCGGGGCCACGGACAGCAGCCTGGTGGCTGCAGGCGCCCGGCCGGGCAGTGCGTGCTAAGGGCTGTTCCGCTGAGGGTGGCACAGGACACTGAACCGTCAACGTACCAGATGCCCCTGAACTGCAAGCACGGAGGCGGTGACTGTTCAGCGCCGTCTCATGAGACACACAGCGTCACGCTTGCCGTCTTGACAGCCGTGCGCGCGCAGCTCAGCGGCAGCGGGTGCGTGCACATCGTATGGCCGTCGCCACCATCGTTCCAAGACTCCGTCTTCCCAGACGCAGCCCTTTCCCCTGCGACGTGCCCTCCCCGCCGTCTACTTCAGTCTCTCTGATTCTGACGGCCCAGGGACCTCACACACGTGGAATCCTACAGGGTCCTCTGGTTCATCCACGTTGTGGCAGGTTACCACGTCCCTCCTCTGCGAGGCCCAAGTAACATCCCGACGTGTGCACAGACCACATTTTGTTTGTCTTAAGATGGGGAACTGTACCGCGTGGGAATTTCTGTCTCAGTAAAGTTAATGTCTCAGACGAAGGACACGGCCCCTATTGAATCCTGCGCGCCGCCCAGAAAACACCAGGCAGCTGCCAGTCCCAGCCCCTGGGTCCAGCCACGGGGGACTTGGGGAGGCCTCTGGTCCTGACCGTGGAGCTTTCGGCAGGGCGCTGTGCCAGGCCTGGCCCTCGTGAGGGCAGCTTGGGCGTGACAGGTGGGACGGAGGGCCCCAGGGCACTTACGTCCAGAATGTCCATGCGCTGTCGGAGGCTGAAGTTGAGGGCGTAGAATTGCGAGGTCAGGTACTCTGCTACCTGAGCCAGGCACACGAGAGGCCGCTGTGGACGCCACCCAGAGGCAGGGCCCCAACACAGACACTGACTGGGCGGCGGGACGGGGACTCACCGGGGCCGGGTCTGTGACCACGACGGCCACAAGGGCTCTCTGGCGCAGCCCTTCAAAGCCCTCCACGCTCGTCTTCTCCTCCAGGTGCAGCAGCACCTTGGCCAGCTCCACACTCACCTGTGCGCAGGGGTCGGTGTGCCTCAGGCCCTGCGGCCCTGGCCCCCACAGCCCTCCACCTCCCCATCCCTGCCACGGGCCCCCTAGACAGACACACACCCCTCCCCGACATCCCTGCCCCACTCACCTCGCGTGCAGCAGCCGGGTTCCTGATGACCAACGCCTCGAGTGCCCGCAGGGCCGCCTCCCAGCGCTCCCAATCCTCGGACGAGGTCAGGGCTGCACAGAACACACACGGGCCCGCACTGGTCCCCAGCCCTGACCTTGCAGAGGCAGAGCCGGCAGCCAGGGTCTGGACGCTGGGCAGAGGCAGCCGAGTCCCGGGACACGCAGGGTTCCCACGGCTCAGCCGCCCCAGGGTAGGCGCTTGGAGGGGCCTCCCGCCAGGGAAGAGACCCACCTTCCACGCAGTCCCGAACGTAGGTGGGTGCCTTGCTCTTCTTTAGCTCTTGGTCCCCCGACATGTCATAGGGGACAAGCTCATCGTCACTGGGGAAGCAACAGAGACCGGTGGGGCCTGCCCGTCACCCGGGAGCAGACAGGCCGTGCTCCCGAGTCCCGGGAATTCACCCCAAGTCCTTGCACCTCAGGAACAGCAGACTTTCCTATGGGAGGGCACTCGGAGAGACGGCGGCCGCGGGGCCGACCCGTGGCCTCCAGACAGCGTGGGCCGTCCACTCCCACGCCCATGCGCGGCTCTGAGGCCAGCGCGGGACTGCTCCCCCACCTCTGTAGTTTCTACCCGAGGCCTCCCCCTACCTGTCCAGGTCAGAGCCTGAGCCTTCCGGCAGGGCCTGGGGGACGCCACCGTCCACGCTCCCTCTGCCGGGGGTGTCTGCAGCCTCTGGAGTGACGACAGGGCTGTGGGGAGCAAAGAAGGAACCCGTCGGGGAGGCCCCACACAAGCTTCTGGCCCCGGAACCCACCTTCCCCAGGGAAATGCTCTCCCGGCCCCGACCCTGCGCTTCTCGGCTTCTGTCTCAGCAACGAGTCCAAGACGACAAGGTAAGGGAGCAGCAGGAACCGGGCCTGCCCAGCTTGGGGTGGAGACCAGGGGCAGGAAGCCCTCACCTCGCCTCCAAAGGGCTGTCGGCCGCAGGCCAGGGGGCTGCCAGGGCCAGCATCTCACGGCTCAGCTCGTCTTCCTCATACTGCAAAGCACACGGGCTGGAGCGAGTCACGGGGAGCGCCCGCCACCACCCTCCACTTGCCCCACTTGCCAAGTGTCCACGTGGCAGTGGGCGGTGCTGGGTGCACGGGCTCAGGAGCCCGCCCTCCTGAGGAGCTGCTCTCCCCCCCACCCCCACCCAGGAGGACATCCCAGGGGCTCAGCAACAGAGGGGAGGCGATGCCAGAGAGATTGCTTCCAAACACCTCCGGAATCCACCTGGGACATCTGTTCAGGCACTGCTGAGGGATCAACACGCAGAAGGTTCGTGGGCCTGGACCCCAGAAGGCAAGGGGATACCAGGGAGGGAAACACAGGGCGCGGCCCTTGCTCACCTGGAACTTCAGGGGTGGCCCCTCAGGGTGGAGCCGGGCACTGGCCACCTCGGCCACGATCATGCCCAGACGGCGCACAACGGGCAGGCTGCTGTCCAGGCGACTCTTCACCCCCGCCATCAGGCTAGTCAGCAGCTCTGGAAGCACCAAGCCCACACTGAGCACTGGGGGGGCCAGTAGGGACAGGCGGGGACAGGAGGGGACAGCTCTGCACAGTGAGCACAGGGGGCTGGCGGGGACGGGCAGGGACGGGGTGGGGACAGCGTCCGCGTCGCCCACTCACCGTCTCGGCTGTCCTGGAGCTCCGCCTCCCCCAGGAGCGCCAAGCAGATGAGGACGGCCTTGCTAACGTAGCGCTGCTGCTCCAGAGGTGCGTGCCGGACGGCACTGCAGCTGCCCCACGTCTCCAGGAGCCCCTTCAGTGCCTGGCAGGTGGCGCGGCCCAGTTACACAGCCGCAGCGACCTCCCCACCACAGCGCGGGAACGCACGGGCCTCGGTGCCCCCGTGCTTGCCAGCGTCCTCTGTTCCAGGCAGGAACGTTCTCTCTCTCCCACCAAAAGGTGGCCCCAGAACACCCCAGACAGAGGACCAGACCGCGCTTACCTGTACGAGGAGCGGGCGCCGTTGGCTGTCCGTGGCCAGGTACCCCAGCAGGCTCTGCAGCATGGGCGTCTGGGACAGAAGCCAGGCATCCTGTCACTGTCTGTCGGCAGACGCCAGCTGCCCACCTGCCGGGCTAAGACCCGTCTGCCCAGGCTCCCAGAGCACAAACGGCTCTGGGCTGAGGGTCAGCAGGGTATCTCGGACAACCGAGCTCAGCTGCACCTGCTATGGTCACTTCTCCTGGGCCCCCAGGGTGGCCCTCGGCCCACGCCCTCACCGAGTACTGGTACTGTAGGAACAGAAGTTTCCGGGTCATCACGAACTGGGCCTTCTTATTTTTCATCACCAGGTTCCCCAGCAGCCGTGAGAGGACTTCAGGCCTGTGAGGCACAGTGGGGGGGGGGGGGGGGGGAGAGGGAAAAGCATGAACCCCAGATCTCAACGGGTCCGAGCTGCACCCCTCCCCAGCTCTGCGCTAACCACTGGGAGCCCGGGGCCTGCGCTTCAGCTCGGACTCCGTCCTGATTCGCTCTCCTCCCGGGAACGTGGCAACCTGGGACAGCCCAGCGCCTCCGTGCAAGAGGATGTCCTTTCCCCGCCCGGCCCAAGCGGAGCAGGGGTGGCCAGGCTTATCTGGGAAGGGCCAGAGAACAAAAGCTCTATGTTTACGGGCCATCGGTCTCCGCAGACCTCCTGCAGCCAGAAACAGCCAGGGGCGTGTGCGTGAGCGAGCGCGGCTGTGGACCCACAAAACGGTTGTAAAAACGCACGGCGGGCTGAGTTTGGCCCAAAGGCCGCAGTTTGCAGACGACTGGTGTACAGTGGGATCCCCCCCCCCCCGCCGCTCCCCTCCATGGGTGAGAGCCCAGCAAACCCTCCAGCCGGTGTGGAAAGACGGGAGGATACAGCCCTTCCTCCCTCGGCCCTTTCACGTTCTACGCAAAGTCGTAAAGATGAAAAGAAAAAGAAAAAAGAATGCCAGCAGGAACCAAAAAAACAGAAACAGAAGAGACAAACCCACGCAAACCAACCCGCAGCCTCAGGGCAGGAGCGTGACACAGCCCGGAAGGAAGACAGAGAAGCCATCGGCTCGCGGCTTGATGCGCTTACAGGGCAGTGTGGACACCTTGTAAAAGCCACAAACCAAGGACGAGCTGGGAGGGACCAGAAGCGCCTGGCAGGGGGTGAGTGCCTTCCTCACAAGATTTTGCACATAAGGACTGAGCAGCTGGCAGCAGAGGGGGTGGGACCTCAGACGGTTCAGAGAGAGAACACGGGTCCCTGGACACACACACCCGCGCCCAGAACCGAAGACACAGCCGGCGGGACCCACCCTCACGCGCTCGCGCCAGGGGACGCCGTCTGAAGGCGGGCGCCATCGCACACGCACATGCGGCGCAGCCCCGGGGGTGCGGGGTAGCGAAAGGGGTCTCCGCGGCCACAGCCAGGGGAGGGGCTGGGCTGGGCTGGTCCGCCACGGCCTCACCGCATGAGGTCCGACAAACCAGAGGCTTGGGCGCCGCCGCCCGCCCTCCCGGCTCCTTACCCCGCGGCGACCTCCACCAGTCCCGTCAGCAGCGCCTCCACCGCCCGGTCGGGCACACGCTCCACCAGGCGCCAGCAGACCCGCTGCCAGAGGCAGCTGCCCTGGGTGAGCGCCGTCAGCCGCGGCACCAGCACGCCCAGCATCTCCTCTGAGGGAAGCACACGGGGACCCCTGAGCCCGGGGCCGGGGGGCGGCCGGGCGATGGACATCAGCCCACCCGGGGCCAGGCCCAGGCGAGGGAACTGCGCTGTCTTCCCCCTCCCGGGAGGGCCGACGGGAAGCGGGGGGGGGGGGGGGGGGGGAGACGCCCAGACAGCGCTGCGGACCCCCCGGGACAGGAAACACTCACTCTGCCTCCCGCGGACACAGGCTTTCCCGAGCACCTGTGACAGGAAGGAGACGGAGCAGTCCCAGCCACCTGCAGCAAGAGGGAAAGCGAGATTTTCAAGAAGGGCGACGGTTAGGGCCACGGGACAACACCTGCCCAGGCGGGGACAGACCTCGTTTCCAGACAGGCGTCTGTGCGCTGCAAAAGCACCGTTTTTCTCGATCTGATTCCAACTGGAACCTCAACAGCTGGAAGCCAACAGTAATTGCAAAAAGCCTCACACGCTCTTGCTCACCTAATCGCCACAATGACCCCACAGAGCGGGGACCGGTGTGGTGGCGCGGGGAGGGGGAGGCACAAAAGGCCACGTGAGGTGGGCGGGCGGGAGGAAACAGGACTCGGGGACAAGGGGAGGGTGGCGCCCCAGCCCCGCCGGAAGTGGCCACCCTGAGACGGTCACGATGCGCTCTGCCACCTGAAGGGAGCGGCTGAGACCCTAAAAGGCGAACTGGACGCAGTCACCCAGCCGAG